TTGATATCAATGGCTTCCTTAGAGCTTCAGTAAGCTCTTAATAATTTGCAAAAGTTATATAAAATATATTAAATCAATTTAATAGTATTTCACTTGCAACTCCAATAAATTGCAACTTCCAATAAAATATTTAACATAAACAATAGTTTCTTGTTTTAGAACCAAACTTTGAATCACAAAATCACAGTTCCCAATTAATATCCATTTCTTTTGATCTTTGAGATGTTGGAATGGCTCTCCAAGACATAGTTGTTTAATAACATTAACTTGTCTGGCATTTATAAATTCACCCATATTCAGAAAGGTGATGAGTGAAAAGCACTTTTTTATATTTGTTATAGCCAATTTAAATATATTGTGATGCCTTTTGGTTTAACTAATATTCTTCTAGTTTTCCAAAATATGATGAATGGCATCTTTTATGATTTTATTAATCTCTTTATTATCATCTTTTTTTTAACATTCTTATCTTCTCTAAAACTTGAGAAAAATATAATTATTATATTCACCTTTGTAATGCATGTGATTATGGGATGAGATTTAGATATATTATCACCGTGAGCCCAAATATTACTTTGGGTAGATGTTTTACCCAATCCCACATTTATTCATTCATTCTATTGGAACTTTGAACGTAGTTAAGCTATGTTTAAGGCACTTTCCAGAGGTGAAAATGCCTTAAATTGGAGTCTAGGTATGTTGTTCTCCTACTTGATTTCATGTTTTCATCTTCTTCTTTTTTATTCTTCCTTTGTTTTTTCCTTTTTTCTTCTCTTTTATTTATTTCATTTTCACTTTTCTTTTCTCCACTATCTCTTCTTGCTGTAGTGTCTAATTCTTTTGTCCAGTTTGCCATGTGGTTTTCCCCTTGACTTTAGAACTCTACATTCTCTTCTCTCTTTCTTCTTTCTTCTTTTTGTTTTTTCTTTAGTATTTTCTCCTTGCAGTAGTTGTCAACATAGGGTATCACTTTAAATTCTACTCTAGCACTTTTGCTGTGGGTCCTTGTGTGATAGAGCTAATGCATTCCCTCATGATCACCTGTTAGGAGATGGTTTAAACTTGAGTGAAATTCCCTAGAATATTCTACTGTAGAAATATTCTGGGCATAAGGGTATATTCCCTTTCTTCCCTATTTTCTAGGACTTCACACAATAAATATATTTAAGTAGGATTTTAGAGTGTAATAGAGTGTTCTCCCCACCATTGAATGGCTTCCCTCTCAACAGTAGAGATTTCTTTGGGCCAATCAAATCTGTCATGGTGCACTACTCTTATATTGCCTTCCTTATGTCACATTCATGTATGTGTGGCAATCACAAAAGGTAAAAAGATCTCTCATTGTCTTCCTTGTCAAGGATGCCTAGAGTAACCACCCTATTGGCTCTTAAGGAGCTGGGTGCCCATACATCCTGCCAGACTTGGCCATGGCAGCAATAAGGCTGTAGATGGCCAAGGCCAAGCTTGTGTATAGAAAAATATCACCCAATTCCCTTTGCACATGATAGAGCTGCTATCAAGAGTGAGAAGGAGAGGAAAAGGAGAAGAGAAGAGAGGAGAGTTAGAAAGAGAGGAGAGAACAGGAGAGAGGGGAGAGTTAGATGAGGCTTTGCACTCAAGCCTAGTCAAAAATCATGTTTATTAAAAATATTAACCAAGATTAATAATATCACTAGAAATGTTTTTGAACTACCTCTCTTAAAGCAAATCTTAATTTTTATTTTTATCAATTGCTCTCTAATCAAGTTTATTCTGATTTTTTATCTAAAAAGAAGCTAATAAAATTTATTATGATGACATAAGGAGTTAAAATCTATTGATTTCTTTAACTTTTTGTGATGCTAATTGAACAGTTTTAATTTGAATTCAAATTAATTAAAACAAAACAAAAATTTTAATTTGAATTCAAAAAATATTGATTCCACCTGACTTATCATTATCACCTTTTCATTTTCCAGAGGGAAGGATAGTGTAAGGTCTTTCAATACATATATGTATATGGCACTAATGTTTTGTAGTATAGTATTTAACTGCTCATAACAAGAAATATTAGCAAATTAATTAAAAAATATATAATAAAGTTGAAATGAAAGTCTGTAGTGAAATATCTTAAATATATAAACTATATTTGGCATAATTTATTTTAAAATATTTATCATTAGCTATTATTAATGTAAACTTGTTAAATTAATGAAATATATATCATTTTATACAATTGGGATGATTTTGTGTTCCTGTAGACCACCAAATATGATTTGGCGATTTTAGTGAATAAACTACAAGATTACAATCATTTTGTATTGCATGAATGTAAGAAATAAACAGTAAGGTTGACTAATGCAATATTTATCAATAGACCAAATTAATTTTTTTAATTTTGTCTTTAATACAAGATTACCATCATTTTTTAAGGTAAGTTCACAAAATCCAATATATGTTTCTATAACTCTAGACATCCGCACAAGTTTTCTACCAGAATATAATATAAGTTTACAGTTTGTGGATATAAAAAGTATATTTTTTCCATTTGGAGATATTAAATATTCATAAGTTCTTAAGTTATGTTTATAAAAACCTGAAAATAATGTACTTTTTTTAGTATCACAAGTTTTAGGATCTTTATAAGAAATGGTATGTAAAGATTTTAAACTGTAAATATCATCAGTAATATTCCACCATTAATATGTAGCATATGCAATTCTATAGTTTAAAGATTTAATATCACACATATTAGAGTGTGCTTTTAGCATTGCATCAGTATAAATTTTTCTTAATGACTTAGCGCTGCTGGAATCATTGCGAGGCACGCAAGTGCAGCTGCACTTGTTGGAGGCTTTGTTGTTCTTGGAGTCAATGATCTTTTGCATCATGAACAGAAAAACGCACAAATCCACTTCTAAGTGCATGACCATTAACTGTATATTCAAATTTATCCTTACCAAATAAACAATTTGGAGGATTTGCTTCCATACGATTTATCATTAAAAGAGTAGCTCCTCTACCAAAATTTACAGACATCCAATTGTCATAAGTAGAAGAATAATCAGGAAATGAATTATTAATTTGTGCTTCAAGTACTCTAAATCCATGTTCAATAATTATAGCAACTTCATCTTGAATTAATGTGTAATTATCTCCCCAAACTATTGCATTTGAAACTATATCTACAAAAAATAGGATTATAAATGCTAAAAATAACATATTTTAGATTTATAAATAAAATAATTTTATAGTGGTTTTAATTATTTAGATTAGTAATAGTATCACTCTTCTAAAAATATTATCTTCTGTTTAAAGTTGTGTATACATTTGTAGACACATTGTATGTACTATGTTAAATTTAATATTGACTATTTTTTATGCAAGCAACAGTAACCAAGACTCCTCCCAGGTCATGCATGACACACAGATCTACTGAATATCTCAAGATACCTGATCATGCCAAGTACTAGACTCTACTGTGAATATTCCCTTACCTTTTGACCTTTACTAAAGAAAAAAAGGTGTAACAATCTCCACCTTAATAGGTCTCAGCCAAATTCTCCAGAAAGCTTCTTGATAAACTCTTTATTGCTGCACACTCATCTTCAAAAGCGAAAACAATTGATTGCTTCAGATTTGAGTTGGCTGCAGGTGTTTTGCAAGACTGGTCTATTCAGCTGCGGTGCCAAGTGGAAAATTTCACTGTACTCCTCTCGCATGTTGCAAGATTGCCAAGACAACTCACCAGGAATTCAACTTCCAATGCTTTTGCAGCAAATTCTTCGTGTAGTCTGGTCACTTGTAAACCATGAGAAGCCCTTGTAAACCATGAGAAGCCATGCAGTCTTAACACTCCTAGCTGCACAAACTCACTGGCACTGGGTCCAAGCATGGCTGCGTTCCACACGTACCTGACCTTCACTTTTGCCAGGGAGCTCGATGAACTTGGAATACTGAATCTGCTGAGAGTTCGAACCCATAATTATTTCTCTTCCTCTTTCCTTTAGTCCTTGAAAGATTTCCTTAGCTTTGTCACAGCTTCGCTCACAAACTCGAGCCACAGTTTCGGTTGGTCCATTACTCCTGCTGCTATTGCATCGCTCTTCTCTTTCGGAGAGACCAGACCACCTTCCCATCCATTCTAGAGCATTCGCTTCCCCAGAGAGCTTTGGTAATGCTTGTCGTCTGCTCCATCCGTAAGAGACCTCCCTCTAAAGTTTGTGGAGCCTGGATTCTCGATCAAGACTTGGTTGTGGTTGCTTGTCGATGCGTTCTCTGTCGATCTGTTTGTGTGTCCTTGTGGATTAGCAAACTGGAGCTTGTTCGCTATCCTTGCATCACCGAACACCTCTTCGCAAACTCCCCTCGCGAACTTAATCCCGTCTCGTCTAGACGCAGCAAGACAAGCCATCATGGCCTTCTCCTCGCAAGCTTCTCGGCCTTCCGTGCTGGTATTAAAATTTGGGACGAACGCTTTCCACCAGGGGGAGCGGCAAGCCTTTGAGGCAGTGATCGAACAACCCTTCATAGTAGCAGCCTAGGAAAAACGAAGTGAGTAGGTGCTCCCATTCAATTTCTAAGGCTTACGTACCTCGCACTGTGAAGTAATTTGTTTTTCGCAGTTCTGCCATGCACGGCTCCAGCTTGCCTCGTCCTTGAATGCCAAAACGAATGGACCTTTCGAAGGATCATCATCACTTCCGGCAGGAACTGGTACTCGTAACACTGGAAGGACCGGCTCAAATGCAATCGTTGTTGCTGAAGGCGATAAGTCTGTGCTGTGTGCACTCGCCAGATCTTCCTTGGCTGCAAACAGTTTTTCATCAGGACAAGAGAAACAAAAGAAAGAAGAATAAAAATGCTGCTCCTTCAACCTGGTAAATCTGGAGGATAGGCCATTGAAAACCTGCATATACTCACGCCTCAGAATCTATCAAGAACTTTCTGGAAGTTACGTGCGACGAAGACGAAGCTCCGCCTTCGACCTAAGCAGCACGTGAATTAAAGAAAACCCTACCTTTGAGGTGATTCAACCACCAGAATTTTATTTCTCTGTGAGTCAAAAGTACAAACTTTTAAACAACCTGTCAAGAAAGAAAGAGAAGCGTTAGCTAAGCCGCAGAGGAAAAAAAAAAAAAAACAAAGAAGAAGAAAACTTTTGAGAGCTCACCTCCTAGTAATTACACTGCGTCTTTCTGATGTCCAAGCCGTTTTTTATCACCGTGATCCACTCGAACTTGCCCATTTCTTGATCAAACGATTGTTTCCTGTCGAAACAGATTCGCTAGCTCTACTCGCAATGGACGACGTATCGTCTTCCGAGAATCTAAATCTGCAAAGCGAGTACGAAGGCTGCGAAGTCCTCTGCCCGGCTTCTTGTGTGTCTTTCAAGCCTTTGAACACTTCAAGAGTCTCCAATTTCCCGGGAGTATAAGCCGGAAGTGAAGCCGAGCCACGGTCTGCAAGAAAGAGCATCTCCCTCCGGACTCCATCGCTGCCCCCTTCCCTGACTTCGTTGTGTTGCATCGAACTAGCCGCAGCAAAAGCACTGTTTCCCTGGTTCCCGTCCGTCGAGAAAAACTTGAGTGGCTGAAAGAGCTTCCTGTGCGATAGATGTGCCGGACGAACACACTGGAACGGTGCCAAGATCTGTCCATCCCGGCCAACCTCGACCAAAGTCTCCGGAGGCAAACTTGATGGTGGAGACGCCGGCAGCGACGGGCTGTCAAGCTTCACGAAATGCGAAACCAGTAAATCATAGGGAACATTGACGAGTGTCTGCGCAGCTCCAACCCAAACTATGACTCCATTCCTCGACGAGCGACGAACTTGTCCCAGCAGCCATTTGGTATGGTTGCATCTAACCAGCACGAACTCCCCAACGTAGAAGTGTAGCCTCTTCCTTCCCACCACCTCAACAACACCAGCGGCATCATCCTGGGAGCTGATAGCCGGGACGAGAGAAGCCGCGGACTGGGAAGACCAATCCTCGAAGCTCTTGACGTCTCTGCCAGACGAGGAGACATACTCGGGACTCGTTGGAAATCCATGCATGCTTCGTGGGGACGAAGACGATGCATTTCCTGGCGAGAGCTTCGAGTCTGGAATCTCCAGCCTCGGCTTTTCGACGTGCTGCCTCGAGCGCTGCTGCTCCATCCCTTGCTAACCTCTAGGTAACGCTGCGGTGTAGGCAAAGATAGTTGGTTCCTTCTCTCGGCCACCGTTCTGGGCGTTCTGGGACGTTATAAAAACTGAAAGACGGAAAAAACGGACCTTTCTCGTTGGATAACACATGAACACGGTACCGCATTCCTGCCAGAGAGCAAAAACACGAAAACCTTGCTTAGAATCCACAGCCAGAGCAGCTCAAAACGGATATTTTGACCAAGAAAGCGATCGATCCGCAACAAAAGAGCAAAAGGACGCAGGAAATCCATCCAGAAGCTAGAGAATCGACGCAGCTCTACGAAATCCACCGGCAAGAGCTGGATCGACGCGAGAATGCAATGCAGGCAGCCACAATCTATGGAGCGGAAAGAAAAGCAAGGCCGCGATCCATCGCTTACCTGTCGCGAGGCGCCCGAGCTCCAGCGAAGGCGCTTCCTCTTCCATGGCTCCCCTGTGCCATGGAAACCCTAATCGAAATAAACGGGCCATAGTAACTAACTACATCTAGAAAATAGAGCTTTCCGATTAAAACTCAAGCATCTATTAAAGTTTCCCTGTGAAGAAATAATCCTGTGGAGCCATAGTTCTTGTCTAGCAACCATCTATTACACGCAAAGAATCCTTCGTAATCGAGAGTACCTTCCTCGTTTTCTTTTTCTTAGTTGCAAGCGAACGGAAAATCGCTGGTGGTGAAGACTGGGATGTTGTCTCGATTGTTCTTATCGTAATGCTTCTTGCTTTGGTACTCGAATGCCGCCGCTTTGGACGAGCGATTGTTCATGAGAACGGACTCGAAGTCACTCTGCTTGAGCTTTCTTGCAACCTGAAGAGAGATCGATCGATCGTCAAAACAAAGCAAAGATGTATCGGACTCCCTTACCTTTCCAGATGACAACCCGTGCTTTTCCTGCTCGAGGAGATCCCGGATAGGAAGATAGGCAGCCTGCTTGCAAAGCTCGGTCAAGTCGGATCCACTGCAGCCGTCACACAAGCTCGCCAAGTAGTCGATGTCGAGGTCGTCCTCCACTCGCTCTTCCTTGAGCAAAACTTGGAGAATGCTCGCTCGCTGCTTCACGTCCGGCATACCAATCTCGAAAGCTCGAGGAAGACGGCGGAGGATGGCTTCGTCCAGCTCCCATGGCCTGTTCGTGGCAGCCAAGACAAGCACCCTTGCATTCTCTGGATTAAGCTCGTGGTCAGCAAAAAGCCAAAACATCGAGAAAAAAGGATTTTGAAGTGAACTTACGATCAGTGGTCAAGCCATCCCATAGAGCCATAAACTCAGTCTTCATTTGAGTCATGACTTCGTGACTGGTAACTCCTCGACGTCCCAAGAAGCTGTCCACTTCATCGATGAAGATGATAGAAGGCTGGAGCTTGTGAGCCAAGGTAAATACAGCAGTCACTGTACGAAGAAAAGAAATTCGATCAGCTACCAATGAAAGAGCAAAACATACCGAGCTTCTGTGCATCGCCCAACCATTTGCTCATCAGACTCGCGATCTGGACGTTTATAAACACCGCTCGCGCCTCCTTGGCGAGTGCTTTCGCAAGAAGAGTCTTCCCAGTCCCCGGTGGTCCATAAAGAAGCACTCCTTTCTGGGGTCTCAGCAGCTTTCCCTGCGAGAAGAGCTCCGGGCGTTGCAGAGGAAGAATCGCGAGCTCATACAAAGAGTCTTTCACATCTTCCAATCCACCGATGGACGAAAAAGTCACGTCAATCCCCTGCGGATTCACGACGTTCCCAGCAATAATATCCTGTTTCAGCAAGAAGAACAAATGAAAACAAATGCGTCAGTCAACCAGCTCAAAGAAAGAAAAAAAAAAAGATCAAACACAAAGTAACGCACCTCGTACATGTTGGTTTGCTTGAGATCACGTCCCAAGCGCTTGGACAACTCCTTCTTACAGGCGGTGGCCTTCTTCGTGTCGATCCTGTGTGGATCCATGTACCGCAGGCCTATAAGCTGGACCAAGCAGCTCACCGCGGCATAGACAGCGTAAAGAAAAACTTGCTCCAAGAAAGTCCCGGACCGCCCCTTTCCAACACCCGAGACGCTCCTCCGCAAGAACCTCGTGAGCCGGTTCCAAGGGTCCTGGGGGAGCTCGTTCTCCTCGCCCAAGTAGCCCTCAAAAGCATCGCTCCAGAAAGCTCGGGCTTGGCCCAATTCTCGCCGCTTCTTGACCGCCACGCTCAAGCTCGGCCCGCGAATGGGGGCGCGCTGGATCGATGCCGACAGCGCCAGCGGCCGGCGTGGATTCCTTGTCACATAAACCCTGCTAAAACCTCTCGGCTCCGCGAAATTCTGATCGATGCGCCGGGGAAAGAGATCTGTGGAGGATTGCTTACTCGAGAGGTAGGCGCCGCCAGCAATGAAGAGGAGGGCGTGGTTGGGAGTCGCGACGCCTGCCATGGACGGGGAGAGAAAGATCGCCGCGCCGCCGCCGCCCCGCAAAGCCCCAACTCGATCGCTCCTTCTCGATCGCTCTTCTCCGCCCAACAATGGCGGTTATGAGATTAGGGTTTGGTTAAATGAGAGAAAGAAGAAAGCTCCTGAATGGAAGCCTCGTTTTGCGTGGGATATTTAGTGGAAATATTCTAGGGTTTGTGGGCGCTGCGCCAGCAATCGCTATGGACAGAGCTTTCGACAGTGTCGACGATTCCACCCGATCGCTGGTCTCGGTGAGCGATTCTTTCTATTCTTCGTCTGGCGGGGGGAATGAGGAGGCGATTGGCAGGATATGCAATCGAATCTAGTGTTGATTAAGCTCATCGCCGAGGATGTGGAGCGTGCAGCCCGTGGCTGCGATGAGGTTTGGTTTTTTCTCGCCAAGAGTTTCTATGAATCTCACTCTGTTCTCTTGTTTTTTTCCTTCAAGGTGAAAAAACTGGATGAGGCAGTTCTTGAGCTCTTGACCGCTACGGATGAGCTTGAGCGCCACCGAAAGGCAATGCAGGCTCTCAAAGCGAGCTATCAGTTTACAGCAAATCAGGTAGGATACTACTCTCTCAACTACTAAAAAGAGAGTTTTGTCATAGCCTACAGACTTTAGCAAATCTTGCGAGGCTGAGATGCAAGCTTTTCCAGCTACGAATCCAAAGGACCACCCGATTTACAAGCACTTCGAGGAAGCCATTTGGGTATGAAACTTCTTCATTCTTTACAATAAAACGTTTTATCTCATCAGAACGTTCACAACTCGGGTGTTCCAATGCCTGGACAAGAGCAAGCGGAGATTCTGTGCACCACTCAAGCCGGGATCTTGAACCGAACATGCCCGATCTCTGGAAAACACGTCACGGAGCTTGAGAATCCGGTTCGATGGTATGCAGGAAATAACATCTCACACCTTTTTTATTCATGTTTTTTGCTTCGCAGCTCCGAGTGCCGGCATATATATGATCTTCCTGCTGCCAGAGGCTACATCGGCAGCCGGTTGCAGAGCAAGCGCTGTGCCGTTGCAGGTTTGCTTCTTCCAAATCTCTTGAAGACATCTGTATGTCGTTCCAGGATGTCCGAAGAACATTTCGCTCCAAAATCTTGTCCGGGATGCAACGCTGGACATGGAAATCGCGGAGCTGAGGATGAGAGGCGATGGTGGTGAGACTCACACTCACACCGTGGTTGAGGAGCTGGATGATATACTGGACGTGGAAATAGACTGATGAATAAACGTTTCTTGTTTTAATAGCTTCAAAAGCTCTAGGGCAAAACATTAAATCCATTTAAGAATTTGCTAGTTGCGCATTTGTCTTGAAGAATCAAAAGTGACTAAGTTAAAGAAACTTCAAGATGAGTTTAATCATATATTGGTTAAATTAATTATAAAACATCGAACTTAATCAAATAAATCTCAATTTATATTGATTCAATAATTAGTATACTATAGATTTATTTGATACAATCTTGATGAGTATGAGTATTTGTAGCCCACCAAACTTTTTTTAATGGCCTAAATAAATAAACTACAAGATTACAGTCATTTTGAACCGTAATAAATGTAATAATTTTACAATTACAATATTTATTTATGGACCACATTTGTTTTTCTTTATTCGTTTTCAATAAAACATTACCATTTTCTTGTAATACAAGTTTGCATAATTCCCAATAAACATTTTTATTATCAGAAATCCATAAGAGCTTTTTTCCAGAATATAATGCAATTGTACAATTTGATAATATATATAGTATATTTTTACCATTTGGTGATATTAAAAATTCATTAGTTAGTAAATGATACTTAGGAAATCTAGCATATAATGTGCTTTTAGAGTTATCACAATTTATATAATCCACAGAATTTGGGAAAGGTATTTGTAAAGGTTTCATAGAAGAGCTATAATTCCACCATTTGTCAACAATATATCTAAGTCTATAATTTTTATTTGTAATATCACACATGCTAGAGCATGCATTTATCATTTCTAATTTATAGTTATTCTTTAAAAGATTAATACCAGTTCTAATTGCAGTACCTGTAATTTCAGTATTTAAAACATTACCCACTATACAATTTGGAGGATCTCCATCTAAGCGCTCAAACAATATTAAAGCAGCTCCACGCCCAAAATCTACTGATTCCCAATCATCATAATTAGATAAATAATCACGACGAGATTTATTAACTCGAGATTCAATGGTTTGAATTCCATCAATAATAGTGCGAACTTCATGTTGAAGTAATGTATGATTAATTCCCCAATTTACCTTTGGAACAAAACCCATATCTAAAAATATTATTGTACTTATCAAGAAGTAAAACATTACTTATAAAACAATTATAAGAGTAAATTTTAAACTTCTGTAAGGTTTTAAATCTTATTAAAATAGACATTTGGAAATTTTATAGTAAATTTAATATAAGTATAAATAATTTAATATTAAATTAATATTATACAACCCACTTTATAGTGTGTCCCACATTGTGGCATAAATGCTTTATAGATGAAGTTACTTTAGACAAGTGGAAAAATGCTCATCAATACAGCAAACTTAGTTGAATAATTAACCAATAAGGATGATAACAATAGTGTATGAAGAATGAAAAGTGATGTGTTAAAGAATGATAAAGTTATTATAAGAAAACTCGGTAAAAGAAAAAAAACTCAACCTAATTATCCTATTGATGGAAAATAAAACATAAAAAATATTGCTTAAAAGTTTGAATAATATATTTCAATTACCAGTATAGTTAGAAGTTAATATTGTGTTTTAGGGGGTTCCAAATGTATAATAGAGATAATGGATAGGTAAGGTATGGCCAACAAACTTAAAATATTGTTTAGATGTGTTTATTCTTTTTTTGTGTCTGTTTTGAGTCTAAACTTAATTTCTATATCATACTAGTTGGTGAAGTACTCATTTCTTCACATTAGGCCATTAATATGCTAATATAGTGTGAAACTTTGTTTGGCTCCATTTTGCATATTAGACTTCATGTTAAAAAATGTTAAATACTCTAGAATTATTTTAATGTTGCTTTATACTCTTATTCTTTCATTCCTTGGTTGTATGCTTGGAAATTACTCCACACTTTTGTTCTTTTGCTCCTTAGTTGCATGTTTGGGAGTTTGGCACTATCTTTTTATTTAGTAGTTCAAAACTTCGAAACTTAGGTCCCACTTTGTTGCCCTTGGCACATGTGTCTTAAAAGTTAAGTTCTACTCTATAATTATCCTATGATAAATTATTATAAGGTAAAGGGTGAAAACCACATATGCTATAAATGAGATCTTTCAAGAGTATGATATTGCATTATTCACTAAGTAGCTTGTCGCAAATGTGACTTCGGGTATCGAAAAATATTTGTCGGCCAGTCCTTATGGACATTCTTTTCTTACTGCCATGACGGCAGGAGATCGGTACAATTGGATCCCTTTAGTATCCCCTCTTATGCTAATGGAGTTAACTGGGCATTTCAAGTGTACTTAGACCGGATGAGCATAAGGATGGAATTCCTATGTGCTATTACTTAAGCATGCTTAACTCGGTAAAGAGTTCTTGTCTCATTTTGTCTTGCACTTGTTAGTGACAAGAACCCTTGCGTATTGAGACTAGTCCCTCAATATCACTGGATGATACCTTATCGTGTCTACTAAACACCTTCGCTATCACGCCTTTTGTGTTGGTCTTATTTCGGTCCCAAATACTATTTATGGAAAGTGTTTAGATTAGCTCATTTGGCATATCTATGGAATGTAGAGATCGGCCCAAACAGAATGGTGTTCGTCTTGTGTCCAAATTCGCAATCTAGCACCATTCCATATTTAGTAAGTTTCAAGTTTGTCTCAGAGACTAACTCTTGGTACTAAGGGAGGCTTGGGGTGAAAGCCCAAAGCGTGTGTTCCTTAAGGGGGGGGGGGGGGGGGGGGTGGGAGCTATGGGGGGTTCTAAATGTATAGTAGGGATAGTGGTTGGAATGCATGTTCAACCACCTGAGACATTAGTTTGGCTCCTGTTGGGCTGTGTCATTCCTTGTTCTATGTCTGGCTTGGGTCTAACCCCAAGCTCCACACTACTGTAGTTGGTTGGGTACCCTTTTCCTCGCGTTAGGCCACCGGTATGCTAAAGTTGTGTCAGACTCCGTCTGACACCATTTTGCGTGCAAGTGTTGGATATGGGGAGCTGGTGCTCGTGGAATTGTACCAGACCCTCATTTCGTAGCGCAAAGGGCTTGGAGTTTGGCTCCAAATTTAGGTGCGCTACATTTGGTATTAGAGAAATTGTTTTAGCGATTTCTATCCAAATTTTGTCAGATTTTTTGACTTAAGTTGCATACGTAAAGACTTTTCTAGTAGATCTGAAGCAACTTGTGTATGCTTAGTTGGATTGTGCTGATGACGCTGAAACCTCTAGACGGGAAAATTGAGAGGAGGAAACTCCTGCTAGAGATGCTGCGGAAGAGGCTAAGGCCGAGTCAGAAGAGGAAGAGCCAGATGCTGCGGCGTTGTAGCGTACGGCTCAGGAAGTTGAGATCGAGAATTTGCGAAGGGAGATTCACAAATTGAAGAAGGAGAACAAGAAGAGGAAGAAAGAAGCTGAGGCAGCTAAACCAGCTAAGCCTAAGCAACTGAACTCCTTTTCAAGTTCTGAGGATAATGAAGTTCTGCAGCTGCCCCCGGTTGCACGAGTTTCAAAGTTCAAGCCTCCAAAACCACCCAACTTCAGAGGCATGCAGAACTATCAAGTTTTGGAGGACTGGGTCTATGATATAGAAAACTATTTCATAGCGGCAGACGTAAATGATTGTACGAAAGTTGCGTGTGTGCAATCCTTTCTCACCGATCATGCCAAAACTTGGTGGCGCCAAGTGTGTGCTGAAAAGGGGCAGATTAGAAGTTGGACCAAGATGTGGTCTTGTATCCGTAAGGAATACTTGTTGGATGATCTTGGTTTGAGACTTCATGCGGAGCTGCAACGGTTAAAGTAGCGAGGGGATCTCATGCATTACATTAATGTGTTTGCTCAGAAGCGCATTATGATTGCAAATATGAGTGACAAAGATGCTCAGAGTTATTTTCTGGA